TTTATATTCAATTTTTTTTACTAAGCTTCTTTTAGTTTATCTTAAATTGTCAAGAATGTTTTGCGATGCCTCATAAATGTACAAAAATGTTTACGGAGGAAAGAAACTGAGGAACTTGATAAGAGTTAAGAAATACACTAAATTAAAAACGAACTTATGATGACGAAAATATAAATAATCTTATAGCAGCAAGACGCTAACCTCGAAAATCAAACGAAACCTCGTCGGAAAATTCGGAAACTCCCTAAGCTCATGGAAAGATTTCATGATTGTCTTGCCGAGTTAGTTCCTTCATAACAAACGAAAAAGAAATCGAGCGTCGAGTAAAATTGTGCTTTGGAAAATTAGGGAAAAGGAAAACTAAATTAAAGCTTTTCTTTCGTTTTATTAATTTTCTTTTCTAATAACAATTTCTACAATTTCTATTGTTCACGCCATTTGTAAAAAAAAAAAAATTATATATTATAGATAGATATAAATAAATAAAAAAAAAAAGGGGAAACAAATTTTTAATTAGGGTTATGTCCCACCATAATAGTTGCTATCCCCACCCCTTGCGCCTGGTATATGGATGAACGAGACCCCTAGGACCCCGAGAGGTCGATTGGTCAGTAGACCTTTCCACTTTGAACCGGATAGCGACGCGTTTAACATCTGTTAACTAAAACACCTTCCGAAAAATCAAAATTGAAAATTTTTCAAATCATTTTATTTTTTTTTAACCTCGAAATATCCGCCAAATTAACAGGATATTCCGCGGTGGTGAAAAAGAATTATCGAGAATAACAATTAAAATTTTTTTTATCTACTATATATATCGCTTGCACTAAAAATGAGACGGACCCCGTGTCACAAGGAGCCGGTTTAGCGTGCGGAAGCACGTTCGCCAAATTTAACCGCTCCTCCTGCCAATGCTAATCCTGATACAACACCGCGATGGCTTCAGTCTTAGAGTGATGACCTACAACATGCACTTATCACATCCCTATTTTTGATGGACGCAATCCACCTTTGAAGGAATTCCTACAAGACGTAGTAATGGAGCTGTGTTTTTGACAGGAACTTCCGAGCCTGGATACATCAATGCCCGTCCTAGTAAATTTAAAGGGTGCGGCTGAGAGAAAGCGTAAGGGATAAACTTTATCAATAGATTAGACGATTTAGTGTCCCCATTTAAAAAAGAAAAATTTGCTTCTTCAAATAAGTATCATGGTATTAGATAATATTATGAGCATTAGACTAAAACAATCAGAGACGGTTAGTGATTATAACGACCGCCGTACAAAGGTCTACTGAGTGGGGCAAAACATTCTTTAGAAGCAAAATTAGACGCACGCATATCGATAATATAAGGTTGGGTGGGCCGTCCCGTTGTCAGGATACTTCTGAAGTGCGAAATTATGATGAAACCAATCATTGATTGCGCCCTTGAGGCATTCATGTCGAGGCCTGCCAGAGGAAATTCTATTTTGGTGGACACGAGAAATCCGGCAGACCTTAGTGAAGCCTTTGAGCCTGTGCCCTTTCGTGCTGAAGAAGGCACAAGTACTCAGACCGATCTAGAGGTACGTCTTATCATATTGCTCTGCGCCGAAGAACATCCACGATCACCTAAGCCCTTATACAAACAGGTCGAGAAAAAAATTCTAATCCGAAAAGCGGACGGTCGTAAAAATGATAGAGGATTTGAGTCAAGCATAGATCACAGAAAGAAAACCTCGGCGAATGATGTGTTGGCAATTTACACCTGAGCAACTTGCGGACATTTACATCGTTCACGATGATTCACAATTCGGTAGTTTCCAACCCCCTATCCAAGCAATGATTTTCAACTCCCCTCAATACCAAACAACCTCAATCTCATCGCAACTATCAAGAACAAAATTCAAATTCAAGTTGTAATGCGGCCCATACGCGTGCAGCATCCCGTGGACCTCCAGGAAAGTAAACTTTCACAGACTCGACATACCGACGCGCCGACGAGTCCAAACCCACAGCGTCAACGGAGTGTCCAGTTCAAGGACAATTCCGTAAGGTCCTACGAGCAGGAGTCACGGCCGAGGACTCCCCAGTAGTGCAGTTCACGGCCCCAGAAATTCCCGACAATCAGATATTAGGTTTCTAGTAATCCAGGATCCGACACAATCTAATCAAATTGTGTTACCTTAGATCCCGACCTTACTCTTACCCGAGCAAGAGTACAGAAGTCACTGGAATAACGAATCACACAGTTGGAGACGATTGGTACAATTCAAATTACCATCGCGAGTAGCACCGTGTTGAATTTCATGTGTAAAAGAAATAATTTTTCCTGTTTCAACACATGGAATTATGTAGGGCGAGCCCTACCTTCGACAGGAAAGGCCCAGATATCGTTCTGGCACAATACCCTGGTCACTCTCTCCAACCCAGTGACCCCTACCCGTTTGTGGATAAGGAATCATGGCTGAAAAGGAGATTTTGAAACCTCATATCAAACCTTTTAAAAAGGTTTGCGAATCCGAGCCAGAACTCGAAATCCAATCGCTATTAACGTGATCAATCCAGATTTGTCACAAGGTTATCTCCCTCGAATTAACACCCCTAAAGGTGGATACTTGGCGAGGCCGTAGTAAGTAGCAAAAATGGATTGTGTCACGCCGTAGCGATTAATACTACAGAAGAGGATATCGATATAGAATTGCCTCCCCAAGAACTAATCCCTTTTGATTTTTGCAAACTGGAGGGCGAAGAATTGTCTGATTCAGAATCTGACCATTTTTCCACTCCACTGTGATTCCCTACACCGAGCGAGTTCAAAAGGTTTTAAAGAAATCCCTTTTTGTTGTCCCATTTAAATTCGTGAAAGAAAAAGAACTTGTAATAAATGGGCCGAGGAATATGCCGCATTTTTCATCTCATGGGGAACCTTTAAGTATTGCACTCATTAATCCAACACAGAATCCCCACCACTGACGATAAGGTAATTCACCTAAAAAGCAATACCGATCCCCAGATGAAGCCCTACCACAAATTGACGAACAATTATTAAAACAATTTAATAGCGGTATTATCGGAAACTCAAATTCCCCATATAACTCCCCTCTTCTTATAGTACCGAAAAAACTTGACGCTTCGGGAAAAAGAAAGTGGAGGGTAGTTATGATTATCGAGCGCTTAATGAGGAAGGTATAGGGGATGCCTACCCCCTCCCCAATATTTCCGCCATATTGGATAAATTAGGGACGGCAGCATACTTACTGTCTCGACCTCGCTAGTGGTTTTCACAGGTGGAAACTCACCCGGAACGACCGACACAAAACGGCTTTTTTCTTCTCGAAATGGACATTTCGAATACAAGCGTATGCCTATGGGAATCAAAAATGCCCCCCCCCCCTACTTTTCAGCGACTTCTTAATAGCGTTCTTGATGGTATGCTTGATTCGGAAGCATTCGTGTACCTCGACGATATCATTATCTATTCTGATACCCTTGAGGAACATGATAGGCGAGCCCGAAGGACTATATAATAGACTTCGAAGAAGCAAACCTAAAACTCCAACCCGACAAGTGCGAATTCCTAAAAAAGGAAGTGGCCTATTTAGGTCACGTTGTCGGAGCAAATGGAATAAAACCGAATCCAGCAAAAATTAAGGCCATCAAGCGTTTTCCTGTACCGAAAACTCAAACTGAAGTCAGGAGTTTTCTAGGCCTTTCAGGTTATTACAGGCGCTTTATAAAAGAGTACGCTAAAATCGCCAAACCTCTATCTGATCTATTAAAGAAAACAGAAGAATGGAAATGGGGCGATACGCAACAGAAAAGTTTCAAACACTCAGAAAAGCCCTGTGTAAAAGACCCATCTTACAATACCCAGATTTCACAAAACCGTTTAAACTCACGACAGACGCTTCTGAATATGCCATTGGTCAATGTTGACCCAAGAACATGACAAAATTGACCTTCCCGTCGCGTACTACTCAAAAGTCTTAAACGCTAACGAGGAGAAAATACCTCGATGCCGAAAAAGAGTGCCTTGCAGTGTTATACGCTGTGGAGCATTTCAGACCCTATCTGTATAATCAAGACTTTATCTGTCATGTGACTGTGAACCAGTTCACTGGATAAGTTATATTGAGAATCCAGGAACGCGACTTCAAAAATGGCGATTTAAAACTTCGAGGACTACCGCTATAAATTCGAGTACAAACCCGGGAAAATAAATAGAATTGTCGAGGCTCTATCTAACAACCCTATCAAAGATAATGACACTAGTGACAAAAAGGACAACTTTGCATCTTCCGAGTCAGAGTGGACCGAATCTTCGGAAGAAACAGATCAGGATAAGTTAGATAACCAACGCGGAAAATTCTAAAATCAAATCATCCCCTCTTCGCGCCCTTCCCATAAGTAGTGGTGCGAAACAAAAAGTGATTAGTGCCAGTGCAAGAGCGAGTCAATCGCGTGACAATAGCAAAATTCAACAGAAAACCCCACGTTCTTCTAAGGTTCTTCTACCCAAAAACCCTTAGAGGTTACAACACTACAACCTAACCTACCTATAAACTTCCTGTGGCGCCAAAGAAAGAAGTTCCTTCTGCAAGACTAGAAAAGCCACCTCATGCGAATAAACAAAACCCCTCTACTTCATCATCAAACCCCAAGGCCACTAGTTCCACGAAAGGTTTCAAAATGCCCACCACATCAAAGGAAATACCAGTCGTGCCTAGGAAAATACTTGCGAGGAATCAAGCAGCGTCATCTGCAAAGCTCACTATTCCCAAGAGAGGACGACCCATAGGATCAACCAAACCTAAGGAACCCCATGATGAAGAACCTTATGTTCCCCCTGCAGGTTCGAAACCTGTAGATCCAGATGTGAGTAGTATTGGTGAAAGATGAGGAGAAGAAAACAAGAAATACGAGAGAAGGCCCGTCACCAGGAAGACGAATCTTCTTCTTCAGATGAATCAACGACAGAAACCGACAAGGAAGAAAATTCGGACGCCCCGGTATTCCGTGCAAGTCATAGTGTGTTCCCTAGTGTTCCCCCTCAGCTCCCACCTAAAATTCCGATTACGCAAAAAGAAACAACTGACCAACCATCAACCCCGTGTATCCCCCCTATGTCTAGTTCCTACACAGATGTTTATGTAGATGGTGCATGTTGTGACAATGGCGGAATAAGACCACGTGCAGGGATTGGAGTATGGTTCGGTCCTGGACACCCACTTAACGTCTCTCAGCGGTCCACAGGTAGACAAACCAACAACGCTTCCGAAATTGAGGCTGCAACAACGGCTATCAAAAAGGCGAAACGAGCAGGGATAAATCAACTAAGGATAAAAACTGACTCCAAGGTACTTGTCCAAGGAATCCAAGAGTGGGTACCAAAATGGCAGGAAAACGACTGGAAAACCAACGAAAATAAACCTGTCAAAAATAAAAGTGCCTACGAACGATTAGTTAAAGCAATGAAAGGTTTGGATGTTATATGGGAACACGTGCCTGGTCACGATGGAATAAATGGAAACGAAAATGCAGATCGACTAGCAAGGGAAGGCGCCCTTCTAGAACCTCCTTCAGACTCCAGTTCATCTTCCAGCGAATCAGCAGATCAAGAAGATGTGGAAGAAATTTCCCCGGAGCATGTGATCGTCGCAATACCTCCACCACCTCCCGATAGTGAAGAAAGTTCGGAACGGAATCAGAAACTGATCAGGAACCACAGCAAAATCCAGCAGATCCTGAAGATCAAGAAAATTCACTAGATCAATCAATTAGGCGATTCGATGAATCTCTGAAACGTCGTGAATTCAGCAACTTGAATCAATCCAACCAAACCTTAGCATGGGACTATGAAGGAATGGGTCGAACACCTAAAAAGAAGACTCATGTTTCCGACGGAGAGAGCGATGAAGAATATCTTAACTATCTAGAATCCTTGGATCCTTGCAAGGAACCAATGATAGCGAATTCACAGCAAGACTGAAAAGATTCCTGGATAATGTCAACAAAAAGCGAGAGCCAACTCACACCGACAACAACACTTCTCCAAAAGAATCAAGACCATCCTCGGAACACAAAGCTCCTTCTTTCAGCCCCTATGCCAGTGGAGCTCAGCAGGATACTCCAGTAATGAGTTATTCTTGCCCTAAAGAAAACGAAGTGTGGTACGTTTCCAGGATACGCCCCGAAGTAATTGAAGAAGAAAGCATCCATGAGAATCCTGCAACCAGTCTTCCGGTCTTCACTCCTAGAACCTTGCCAGCTCCAGTTGCACAATCTACCCCATTCGCAGATTTTCAAGCAGAAAACGACGAAGAACAAGACGAAGAAGTGGGAAGAAAAACAAACATAGTGCCTCGAAGACTACATTCAAATAATATAGAATTACCCCCACCAACGATGCCTATCCCTCACACAAGGTTACCAATCTATATTAACATTTCGGATGTAGAGTCCCCCTCTTCTTCCTCCCCCGAACCCTCTGACAACGAACAAACTATTAATACTACACATGAAAAATTCAAAGAAAATCCGGAAAATGTTTTCCACCAATGGACGGAACCAGTGACCTACAAGAAAGACAATATTGCCCATTTTATTTCCGAAGATTGTGAACCCGTTGATTCGATTTCAAAACTCTTAATTGCTACCGATAAAATTAACTTACAGGATATCCGGGATAACAATCCAATAAAAGGACAAGTTCAGGTTACCCTTTGTGGAAAATACAAAATTTATTCAATCGTAGTAAAGAAAAGACATTTTGACGAACTTGACTGGAGTGACGTTACAACAGGGTTACGGAACTTGAAACACGCTTTAGTTTTAGATAATCAAACCCATTGCCGGATGGCAAATTCCGGAGACCTATTAGGTACTCTCCCCCAAACGACTATGGCGGGCATATTAGCAGGAATATTCCGCGGTGGTGATGTAAAAATCACCTTGTGCCACGGAAAGATTGAAGTCCCTCCCCCAGAATTACGCTCAAAAATAATAACCGAATATCATGGTAGTTTAATTGGTGGGCATAAGGGCATTACAAAGACCTACAGGCGAATACGCGAACGATATTATTGGCCTAGATTACGGGATGATGTGACACAATTTATTCGAAAATGTAGAAGCTGTCTTGAAAATAAACTTGTTAGGGCTCGAACTCGCGAACCTATGTTGATAACGGATACCCCAGCAATACCCTTCGACAAGGTATCCCTAGATACAGTGGGAAAATTGAGAACTACTCCCAATGGGAATCGACATATTCTTACCATGCAGGATAATTTTAGTAAATACTGCATCGCGGTACCTATTCCGGATATCAAAACCACTACTATCGCCCATGCTGTGGCAACAAACCTTTTCTCTCTGTACGGAGCACCTAGATGTGTGCTTACAGATAGAGGAGGAAGCTTTGTGAGTTCTTTGATGCGAAAACTCGAAAGAATTTTCGGCGTAAAACAACTTACTACTTCCGGTTATCGTCCTCAAACAAATGGTGCATTAGAAAGGAGCCATATTGAGCTGACAGATTATATTAAACATTATGCAAATGATTTTGACGATTGGGATCGTCTACTTCCTTTTGCGATGTTTAATTATAATACATCGGTCCATGAAGCTACAAATTTCACACCGTACGAATTGGTTTTTGGTCGAACCGCCCGGGTTCCCAGTTCATTCCCACAGGGCCCCGAATTGGAAACTTATGGTGTTTACTTGAGAGATTTAATCGTTAGAATGCATGAGTTACAGAACCTGGCCGCCCAGCGAGTGATCAAAGCAAAAGAACGATCAAAGGAATGGCATGATTCTAAAGCTCGGCCTTCTAAGGTCAAGGTCGGTGATCAAGTTTACACATATAAAGAAATCCGGAATAATAAATTCGATTCACGTGCAAATGGCCCTTACGTCGTCGTAGGATTAACCCAAAATAATAACGTTATCCTGGAAGATGAAAATGGCGAGAGATTCGCCAAGCATAAAGATAAGATAATGGTTGCCCATTTTTAACCATTATCTTCCCTCTGAGTTATCATTAACATAGTTTTGATTTTAGGTAAAATGACGATGGAATGGATCACTATTGCCTTGTGCCTCGTTCTAACAGCAGGAGCTAATTCTGATGATTCCCTAGCAAACGACCCGACGACCAGCACATTTTTCCAAATTACACCTTTCAACATCAGTAGTGGAGTCTATTTTGAACATTTCGGAGAAGTTCGACGGTCGACTAGCAGATGGAGGGTGGCTGTGTTTCTAGACATCGGAAAACAAATTCGCCATTATAATGATTTGAAGTTGAGACTGGAAAGGCTCAAGGAATATTGCAGACCAGGAGAAAATTGGTGCGAGCAAACCATGTATCAATTTCAATGGGGAGATAAATGGGAGATGGCATCAGAATTACAACTTCAATTCCGAGGACAGATCGAGGAATTAGAAAATACCAGGACGAGCCTACCAAGGAAAATGTCGTCACAACTAAAAGTAAGACGGAGTGTTCCTCTCCTTGGATTTTTGGGAAAAATAGCTGGGCCCATCGCAGGCGTTCTAATTATGACGACGGAGAACGGTACGATGCGGCTATCGAAGACCTGAACCAAGCCCAAAGTAATCTGACCAGGTACTTGGGAAAACAAACTCACATTGTCCGCTCTCAATTGGACATCATTCACACTCAATATGTCAATCAACAAGGCCAAATGGATAACCTACGTCAGGATCTACAAAATTTACTTTTGAGAGAAGGAAAAAGCGCTACCTGGAAAGAAGCAGAAGAACGAAGACAATCCATAATACTATTAATGGAGGCACTTAAAATCGGATTGGACCACAACATCAAAGCTACATCCACCATCTTGAATGCTGTCCATGAAGCTCGACAAAATCGGCTTCATCCCGGAATCATCTCATCAAACCAACTTGAACCAATCATGCGAGAGATCCAAGACAATCTGACAGATGTTTATTTTCCTCTACCTGGACCCAAGGTCAGCATCGACGAGCTTATTCGAATCGCCACCATTTCCATCTGGTGCGATAACCATAAGTTGAAGGTCTTGATCGACATCCCTCTTTTGGAAAGACACAAATACCAGTCCTTTAAAATCCATCCTCTTCCAACAATACAAGAATCCTTGGGTAGTGGTACTCAAAGAGCCTACATCAGCTCTGATTATGATTATTTAATTATCGACGAAGATAAACGAACCTACCTGCTGATCCACCAGGAGGAATGGAAGGAATGCCGCTCAACTGCAGCCTATCATGCTTGCCTGGAAGGAGTACCAATCTACGACGTGCGAGAGAGACCAGGATGTGAACCCTTACTCTTGGACCAACCATCTATTGAAGCCATGAGATCTTGCACAATTAAAATTACTACAGCACCTGAATCTTACTGGCAACCATTAAGAACCCTGTCAGCATGGCTGTACTCATTTGCCCGACCAGAAGTGATTACTATCTACTGTCATTCGATGACTCCCGTTAAGGTGAATTTAACCGGAGTAGGTATGATGAAACTAGCTCCAGGATGCTCCGTAAAAACAAAAGACGTCACCATCCCAGCTACATCAGAACAAAAGGGTCAAACATCGCTTATCTTCGAAACTGAGTTACATCTGGATGTTATGAAGGTGTCACCCCTATTAGCAACCCATGCTGATCTTGCAATAACCCTAGAAGACCGGCATGTAGAAGTAAAAAGTCTTGGATCAAAAATGTCCAGTTTTGAAGCAAATTCGAAAACTCTATACGAATTGGAAGAAGAATTAGAAGACCTAGCAGTCCAGAAACAATTTAAAAATAAACATACAACCCTTGTTTATGGAGCTTACGGAGGTTCGATGCTAATTATTATATGCATCATACTGTACCTATGTAGAAAACCTATTTCAAGTGGAGCTAACCACTTTTCAAATATCCTAAAACCTACACAAAAACAATCCGAAGTAGCAGCTGACTGCCGGACCGAGACAACAGGAAACTATTCTGTCATTCCGAATTCCAAGGTCATTTATTTGACCTCTTCCAGATGTCACCCCCAGCAACGAAACCACGGATCCTAAAGCAAGCAGTGCAGTAGCACTGAAGGAAAGTCATTCAATCAACATGGGGTCAGTTGATACCCCATTAACCTCAACATCACATCAAACGGAATTGCAATTTATTCCCGTACCAACAACATCCGGAGTAATATCAACATCGCCAACAGCGAGTCCAAGGCCAGGTACTATTCTACCAACGCAACATCTTCAACCATTTTAGTAAGGTAACATAAGGTATAATTAACAATAAAAAAGAAAACATATACAGCAAGGGTTAGCAATGTTTTTGTGCTGGAGAGAAAAATCCGCGGCTCGGAGTATTAATACTCCATATTTAATTAGAGCAGTCTGCGATGGTCTAACGGAAAAACATTAAGGTTTAACTGCCACCAGAGGCTTCTCATTTGCCCGTTCTCCCTCCTGCCGCGTACCCAACGAGTGATTGCTTTATGTGACCAAAAATCATAAAGCAGGCACTCATGGTGTGCGGAAGTGTTGGGTCAGCACTCTTTCATTGCTAGTTTTTGGTGTATATATATATATTGATGTATAAAAAGATAATACATTCCCAAAGGCGTTTTGACAATGGTGCCGGTACCGTCGGGACGTATCCACAACCTTCTCTTCGTTTAAAATTTGAGAAAAGAATTTACTATAGCGGTGAAACTTTTAACGGTCTTACCAAGATCTTGCCGCTCAGAGGCGCACAC